CCAAATTTGGCATATAGCATCTATGGGTGAAGGGGAACAAAAATTTTTTTAATTTCATGGTCCCTGCCCCCATGGGGCCTGTGGGGTGGGGCTAAAACCACCAAAATTAATGCATTAGTTCTTTGAATATCTTTTTCTTTACTCCTGGACATCAAGCAGTCAAACTGTTGGCATGATTGTAATAAGCACTGAGTCCTCTACCAAAATTATGAAATTCATGGCCCCAGGGTCAGGGGTTCTGGTTTTAGGGCGGGGCTCTATTGATTATATAGTGAAAATGCATTAATTCTCTGAAAATCTTCTTCTCAGCTCCTGGGTATTAAAAACAGTAACTAAGTACATAGTTATGATGAGCAAGAGTGCCTCTTCCAAAATTGTGAATTTCATGGCCCCAGGGGCAGGGGTTCTGGTGTTAGGGCGGGACTCTATTGATTATATAGTGAAAATGCATTAATTCACTGAAAATCTTCTCCTCTGCTCCTAGGTATTAAATAAACTAAGTAAGTACATAGTTATGATGAGCAAGAGTGCCTCTTCCAATATTGTGAATTTCATGGCCCCTGGGTCAGGGGTTCTGGTGTTAGGGTGGAGCTCTATTGATTATATAGTGAAAATGCATTAATTCTTTGAAAATCTTCTTTTCTACTCCTGGGTATTATTGAAACAAATTAAATACATAGTTATGATAAGCAAGGATGCCTCTTCCAAAATTGTGAAATTCGTGATCCTTGGATCAGGGGTTCTGGTGTTAGGGCGGGGCTCTATTGATTATAAAGTGAAAATGTTTTAATTCTTTAAAAATCTTTTTCTCTGCACCTGGGTATTATTTTAAACAAACTAAGTACATTGTTATGATAAGCAAGGATGCCTCTTTCAAAATTGTGAAGCTCTGGTGTTTCGGGGGGGGGGGGGGGCTCTATTGATAATATAGTGAATCTGTAGTAAAAATGCATTATTTCTTTAAAAATCTTCTCCGCACCTGGGCCATCGTCGCAAGCCACGGGTTTTGTGTCCATTCTATTTCCACAAACCCGTGGCTGCCTCCTACCAAATTCTTTCGTGCTCGCGACTGAATCATTGAATATTTATTAAGTGACGCCAGATTTACCTTGACCAATGAAAACACTCTGTAGCAATTTTTGGTACGCTTAAATGGCGGCGCCCATAATGAAATCATGTTTGCTATGCGTGGCAGATTTATTGAAAAAAAAATACGATAGATCCTGAAGAACAGAGGTGAGTTACGTATATTCTAAAATACTTACAAGGTTTTACATTAAAATACAGGGTTTCGAATGTAGACGTTGTGTGAGAACTCTGAATAGCGTTACTCGTTAAGAAAGGAAATTCGAACCGAAGCTGATATACAGCTCGTGGTTATGGTTACATCCAAATACAAGATAGACTGATCATTTTCATTGGTTCTGACTTGAAGCGTCAGATGTTATTCCATTGGTTGAATGTATATTACTAATATTCATGAGAACGAGAGAAATTTGTAGGAGACAGCCACGGGTTTGTGGAAATAGAATGGACACAAAACCCGTGGCTTGCGACGATGCACCTGGGCATATCTGAGGCAAACAGAGTAAAAGTTTTTATAAGGAAGGGAATTTTTACCAGAGTTTTGAACATCTGGACCATTTGGTCAAGTGCTCTGGTCCTGGCCAGGGCTCTATTAGTTTGTATTCTACAGAGAGGAGTTATTCCCCTTTGCTATTTACTTTTGATAATTTATCACTGTAAATAATGTACTTGAAAGGTAAATAGAATAAGAGAATTATGCAAAAACTTATATTGTATAATACAAAAGTACTTTCGTAGTTTAAATGATCAGATAGACTTGTAAGTAGTAGATAAATAAAAATGAGACAAAAATAACTTGTCTTATTAAATGTTCATCAAAGACCAAGAGAGGCCAATGTAAAAGATTTCAACAAGGGATTAAAATAGTAGGCCTTTCAACTGCCGCTAGGGTTCGATGAAAAGAGCGATAACCCATTACCGGAACTTGTTTAGAGCGGGTCCGAGGAAGCTAATTGTTTTTAAGGATGTCAAGTTTTAGCATTTCCCAAGTGTTCCTTCACTGACAGGTAAATCCAGTGGTTTTAAAATTTAGTTCAAATGTTCAACTCAATTATCATGTAGTTATAGACACTGTACAATAATATATAAGTGAAATTTTTAATAAAAATATAAAGTGAAATCCATCCCCCTTCTTAATTTTGATCTGATTAAATTTTCATACTTGATCGTTCTTCTTCGTGCTTAATGAAAAGAATAAGATAATTTATTGTTGCATTTAATTGTAGAAATATTTATCTTTATAGATGAAGCACAGCAATGCACAAATAAAAAACATAGCATTATATTTTCTTCTTCATAACAACTGTTAGGGAGAGTTAAAAATCTTGAATATAGTCCGTTCCCCATTCATTTATCCCGTTATTCCAGGTATAGAGTGAAGGCATTCTCCTTGTTTTGGTCAACCCTTTTGTGTACCAAAGAATATAAGGAACCCTTTTGTGTACATAACAATACCAATTGAAGCAGCCTATATGTCATTCCTATAAACGATAACTCAAAAATCGGCACTTTGTTGGTCATGTTTTACATTTGAGTTACCTGTCCTTAAAACACCACATCGTACAAATCAAATATTAATAATTATTTTTTTTTTATGATTTAATCAAAGGTATGTATAGGTTATAATCTTTTTTAAGAATTTCATGTACCTACAAATATATCTATCAATTGTTTTTTACCATATGTATAACTTGAAAAATTAGTTGAAAGGCCTAAAAATAGTACAGAAGCATTGATAATTTGTTAATATACTGTATGGTGATAGTGATAAATGGGGAACAGATTAGAACCTAATTCATGAACTGTTAATAAATATTAAGACCAATTATTTTGTTGTTCGTGGTCACCCTATTTTTCTTGCTTTTGGGCAACAAAGCTTCACCTTTCAGTTCATTTTATACTCTATGCATCCTTTAAATTGTTGTATCTTACTCAGGTGACCTTTAAGGCCCTTGGGCCTCTTGTTTACCTTTTGACCTTGATCTGTGAGTTTGACTTACTTTTGAAAAACTTTAACCTTGACCATAACGTTTGAACGGGTTCATTCTTTGTCTTTCATATATCACCTGTGTATTTCTTGTGACAGGAACTTTCTTTAGATTTCAAAATTTTTATCTCGTGACCTCGACATTTGAGTTTGACCTACATTCGAAAAAGCCTTTAACTTTTGATGCATTGGTGGTAAAGTTTTCATATTTCACTTATGTATTTCTTGTGACAAGACCTTTCCTTCGGTTCCAATATTTTTGACCTCATGACCTTAGAGCATGACCTACTTTTGAAAAAAATTTCCTTTGACATATTTTTGGAATGGTTGGTGCAAGGACATGTTTCACATATAATATGTACTCCTTGTGACAATAACTTTCTTTGGGTGCCAACATTTTTGAACTCGTGACCTTGGTGTTAGGGCTTTCATTTTCGCATATGTATTCCTTGTGACAATAACTTTCTTTGGGTATCAACATTTTTAACTCTTCACCTTGACCTTGGAGTTTGACCTACATTTCAAAAACTCGGAACTTGGCATTGAGCTGCCAGTGTTTCTCAAACACATTTTGTTTATGAGATGCTTTGAAACTAGCTTTATAAACAAATATTAGTTGTCGGGATGACACCGTTGAATTAGCATGAACGCACGCGCCTGCCCGTGTGCTTCAATCTGATTCGCAAGGACAAAAAATCTTAATATTATTTTTGCTTTTTGACAAAATGCTATGGAATTTGAAACACAGGCATATCACCAAATGTAGTTTAATTGTTTGAAAACCACGCGCTGTACATTACTTCTCTTTAGTTCAAAGAAATACTGTAAAATATAAGACAATGATTTCCCCGCTCTTAACGGCAAAGTTTATGGGGAAGCCAAAATTACCGAAAAAATGGTACGGAATTTGAAACATAGGCATATACATGTTGTATAATTCTTGAAAACACGCGCTGTACATTACTTCTCTTTAGTTCAATGAAATACTTTGAAATTTAAGACAATTGTGTTTTTTTTTAGACACTCTAAGAATATTTATGTGAGGAATCTAGAAAATACACTAATTTACGTGTGCTAAATCTGATTAGGTACGATTTTTTATGGTTTTAACTTTCTTAGTTTTCAACGATACGAGACGAAAATTGACTTATTTAAATATTCTCTGTGTCTACTTCAAAAAAAAAAAAAAAAAAAAAATCGACGACATGCTGAGGGTGTGCTGAGTTCTGATTGGTTAATACATCGATTGCTGTAACAGTCTACGTTTTCAGTGTACATGTAATTCTTTCGAGATCTTCAATTTTTGATTCACCTCATAGTATCTGATAAATAATGCTGGGACGAAACACCCTCTTCTATACCGATATGTATCACGATATTTGTTCCACGATACGATTCATAGCACGATATGTTTTATTAGTTATAAAATTTTCATCTTTATTGAAATAAATACTCATAGAAGCTGTACATCGGTTGTCAAAACAAATTATTTAACAAAAATCGTGTTTATATCTCAGGTAAATATTTTAAATTTAAAATATTTTATTTTATATTTTAAATCCAAAACATGAAAAAAAAAATCATAGAAATGTCATAAACTTGCTTTTTCCGTACTTATACGTGTATCGTCATCACACATCGATACATGTATACCGTCCCAGACCTAGAGATAATGTATGTGATAATCAACGAAGACACTTGCATGCACATACAGTGATTTTTTTTTGCATTTTGCTATTTGTGTGTTGTATAAATCCCCCCCCCCAAGAAAAAAATTGTAAAATACGTTAAGTTTATAATAGAAATATTTTGCATAATTTTATGAAGCATATAGTTAGGGAATGCGGCACTTAAAAGGAGAAGGGTAGCGTTTTGGGAACAACTGTAACGTTCGCCGGACTAGTTATTTTTTATCTTCATTTTTCAGAGTTTCAAAAACGTAAGCCTGTTGTCTTTGTGGCAAAGCTATCTCGAGACGTTATATTATCAGACAGAGAAATAATAACCTTCGATGATGTAAAGTTGAACGAAGGACTTGGTTTTGACCCCATCAGAGGAGTGTTTACCTCGACAACCAATGGTATCTACACATTTTCCGTACTTGTCGAGTCTACAAATAGGGCTGTAAGAGCAGCTATTTATAGAAACAATGAACCTTTTGCTCAGATATCTGGGCAACTGCTAAACAGAGGGGGAGCATTGGCATCATCCACAACTTACGTTCATCTGGATGAGGGCGACAGGGTGTGGATTCAGTGGACAGGAGATAATGCAATGATAGGACACCTGCAGTCACAGTTTACAGGTCATCTTCTCAACATTTGACCTTACGTATAAAAGCATCTTCTTTTCTTAAAAAAATGTTATTCATTTCATTCGTCTTTGAGAGCAAAAGGACTTTGATGTGAACAGTATAGTATAGTATCTTGTTTAATTGTGCACTACAGAAATTGATGGCAAAAACTTGATCATGCTGTATGTCTGTCTCATTAAATCTTCCGATGTGCTGGGGTAATATTTTTTTTAATTATACTGGTTATAAGAACTAGAGTGTTTCAAGGAAGGCATGTATGTGTCGCCTGCTATAGCATCATTAAAAACATTAATAAAGCTAAAATTTACCATAGTTTGTTCAATTTTAAAAGTGTGTGCATTTGTTCTTTTACAAATTATTTCTATAGTTCGTGCAAAGAAAATCACCTACGAATAGTAGGATCGAGACGAATTGTATTTATCAAGTCCAACACAATCTTTGAATTGGCTATATAGTGTGAATTAGCCATAAAGCTTTATTAAGCTTTAGAAAAGCTTGATAAACCTATTTATATGCAGTTTTTCTCAAAAATGTTTTCGTAATAAATAGACAAAATTTCGCAAGTATTTGACTATTCATATATAGACCGTACTGTGGACTTTCAAAAAAGCAACCCAAATCATAGATAGTTCTAACATCACAGCTTTTGAATACTTTTTAGCCATTGTTTGGATAATTGCATGTACACCATTTTGTGCGTTGTGGGGCCTGGGTAAGTATGACGGCTTCACAGTGTGCTGAATTAGTCAATTATCTTGCAGATCAGATTGATCTTCTTAATTTCATTCAAGAAATAACTGTTTTGGTCACAAATCAATTGCTTTATAATATGGTCTCAAAACCTTTAGAACTTTAAAAACAGTCTCTGAAGTTGATGCAATTTGATGAGCTATTTTTACATTCATTGTTTTCATAAGAGCCCAAAGTTGAATACTATATATCATTACACCAAGGTTCGACTTTTTAACATGCTGAAAAAAAAACACATTTCATAAAAGTGTGATAAATAGCTAAATTAAGCTAATAGTTCAATAAAGCTATTCAGCTATTTCCAGCTGTACAAGTTAAAGCTAACATAAATTCTAAAATAACGCAACACTTTTATCTATATGTACGATTTGTTTCATACCAAGTAGCCCATATCTCTTTCAGGTACCTTGTCTTATTGTAACTACCCCCGGTATTTATACCCAATGCGCTCGTAACGGTGTACACTTAAAGCTGACATGAATTCTTAAGAGGCCCAGGGGTACATCGCTCACCTGAGCACTCTGGCTAGGAAAAAGCAGAAATCAGTTCAGTCTTGAAAAGTTAAAATATAAAAGTGGTTGGGGGGGGGGGGTGACTTATTTGAACTAACTCGAATCTATAGGGATGCTTTTGAATTAATATGGCAAATAATGGCTTTGTTGTTCTTAAGAAGAAAATTTTTATTGATATATCCTTTGTATTCATTTGTATAACTGTGATCCCCTGTTATGGTCCCTCTATTCTCCTGGGGTGGGGGTGGGGGGGGGGGGGGTGGGGGTCATGATTTGAACAAATTTGAATCTACATTACCTGAGGATGCTTCCATATAAATATGAACAATCATGGCTTTGCTGTTCTTGAGAAGAAGATTTTAAAAGATTTTTCCTATGTATTCTTATATATAACTTTGATCGCCCATTGTGGCCCCTCGTGGGGGCCATGATTGGAAGAAACTTGAATCTACACTACCTGAGGGTGCTTCCATATACATGTAAATATGACGAATCATGGCTTTGCTGTTCTTGAGAAGAAGATTTTCAAAGATTTTTTCTATGTATTCCTATTTAAAACTTTGATCGCCCATTGCGGCCCCGTCCTACTTCTGGGGGTCATGATTTGAACAAACTTGAATCTACACTGCCTGAGGGTGCTTTCATATAAATATGACCGATCATGCCTACGCTGTTCTTGAGAAGAAGACTTTTCAAATTTTTCCTATATATTCCTATGTAGAACTTCGATCGCCCATTGTGGCCCCACCCTACCCCATGGGGTCATGATTTGATCAAACTTCAATCTACACTACTTGAGGATGCTTCCACATAAGTTTCATATTTTCAAGAGCACAGTGGTTCTTGAGAAGAAGATTTTAAATGACGCCATTAATTTTTCACTAATTCATAATTTCTCCCCTCGGAAGAAGCTATGTACGACTTGTTTCATACACGCCTTTTACCAAGGGGTGAGATTTCTTTTGTTAAAAGTGTGCGTTATCTGTACATAACTCACAACTTTTCCATAAACTCCGCCCGTCGAATTGGGACAAAAGAGCATTCAAAGAACTAAGCCACGTTTTTAAATCAACAATCATTCGGACTAGATATACCAAATTAAAGAGAACAAAAAAAAAAAATACAAATTTTGAAAAGCATTAGATAATCTTTATCAATTAAAAACTTGCATTTAAGAGTTTGACTTTTGTTAACAAATGAAAAACAAGTGCAGAAATTGCTGATATTTTTCTTCACTATTGTTCTATTTATAACCAACCTTGGTACTTAAATTCAAAAACGTACTTAAATAATTGAGTTTTAAATCGCATCTATTCTGAATGTACAACCGTACGGTTACCTGAGGAGGGGTAGTGGTCTTAGTAGCACTGGTGTTATTTACTTGGAGAGCCCTAATACTCAAGAAGTCAAAAATCCATATATACACGTTGCATTACACAGGAAGTCTGTATTTGGTTATCAGTCAACATAAGGCGCTTCGTGCCTAATATTTTGAATGAAACTACTTAAAATAATTCATATATTTTAATATAAAATTTGTAAACTTAACGTTTTCTTCGATATCTTTTGAAGAAAAATATCATTCTAAAAAATATAAAATTATAAAAATCACGAGTGAAAACTACAATGCAATCATATTTTTTAATCGTCAGTATTGATTGATTGTATGTTGATTAACGTCCCTCTCGAGAAAATGGAAATAATGAATAGTATTCAAGATCAAAAGTCCATTAAACATTACAAAATATGTGCAGAGCAAACACGGACCTCCAAAACATCAAAGGTGGGATCAGGTGCCATGGAGGAGTGAGCATCCCCTGCCGACCGGTCACACCCGCCGTGTGCTCCTTGTCATGATCGGGAAATAACGGAAAAATCCGTCGACAATTCAGTGTGTAAATAATGGCCTAACAATTAGTATGAAAAACTTCAGTCCGCATTTGACTCAATGATAAATTGTATTTGCTGACAAGGTCATTGTATCGACCATAGAACTTCCGAAATGATGACTTTAAACGAGACTGCTGATATTCTTGTTTCATCAACTTGTTTGTCAATAATTTACCACGTATTAGAAATTGTACATACGTACATGTAGAGCATGCTCTTGCGTATCGAATCAACTGAGAGATATAAACCCTGTATGCAGGTGATGAAGGTATATTGCTGCATAAGTAAGGGAAGTTGACGATTGAAAAGTTAAAGTCATCACGTTTATCATAAAGCTTGGTTGTTAGATTACCATTAACGTCTTTTTCAAGTAAAATATCCAAATATGAAACAGATGTGTCAGACTCTGTAGTATCTTTTATCTCAAGCTCACTGGGATATATCGTATCGACATAAGAATGGAAATAGCCATTGTTAATTGACAATACGTCGTCGATATACCTAAATGTCGAGTTGAAGGCCACAGCAAGTGTTTTCTTCTTATCACGTATAAGATTTTGGACAAATTCTGCTTCATATGAATACAAAAAAGGTCTGCTAATGACGGGGCACAATTGGTACCTATGGGAATTCCAATAGATTGTTGGAAGACCTGGTCTACAAAAACCACATAGATATTGTCAATCAGAAACTCAAGCATCTTTTTAATGTCAACTTCAGAGCACTTGTGTGTACAATCAGAATGTTTTTTAACAAAATAATTTTGCAAATGACCAATGACAAGGTAAGTAAATTTACGAGTTCCATTTTTATTGAAAAAGCAGCTGTCAATGATATCAAAAAGCCTGGATTTTAATTTTTCGTGGGGAATGGTTGTGAATAAAGTTGAAAAGTCGTAAGTTTTTAAGCTGTTGATTTTGGTAAAATCTTGTGATTTCAAATTTTCCAAAAGTTCCTTGGAATTTTTAAGTATCCACATCTGATTTACACCACTTCTCGAATATATTGTTGCACAGTACTCTTGAAGTTTCCCCTTCACTACTGTTAATATCTTAGTGAGTAAAGAAAGAGGCTTGGTTGAACATTTACTGGAACCCGCTATGTATCTTTGTTTGTAAGGATTTTTATGAAGTTTCGGAATCCAATATAGATATGGTAATTCAAATTCATTTTGGTTGTTTGGAATATTAAAAATATTCACAACTGACATATGATTTTGAAGAATTTCTTCCTTAGAAAGAGAACTATGAGTATAAGTTGGATTACCACTTGTAGAATTAAATCCAAGTTCCTCTAAAATATATTTAATATAATGAGCCTTACAAACAAAGACAATGTTGTTACCTGCTTTGTCAGCAGGAACTAGTACGTACTGATCATGTAATCTATCTAATTCTTTTTTCACTTCTGGATTATTGAAAACAGAAGGATAGATGGTTCTCAAATTGCCCCTCAATCTTTTAATGCGCGATTTTAACATACATCTAATACATTTAATCCATTCTGACAAAGTGTCAAGGTCTCCTTTTTCATGTCTGGCCCATCGCCTGGCGTAATCCTCTACAGAATCCGTAATATTTATGGAATTCCGACGCCAGTTGAAGGATCGGGGTTCCCTATATTTAGGACCTTTTAAAATTAGTGATCTAAGGTCCTCATTATTAACTATATTTACGTCACCAGTAATAACGTGTCCAGCAGGACTAAAGTTATAGGGTGAAGAAGAACATGAACACGATGGAGGATTATGTTTCAGATATTCGATATCCAGGCACTGTAAAGTTTTCTTGTAATTAAAAAGTTTGGAAGCAAAAGTCGATGTATATTTGTAGAAAATACAAGGTGTAGTCTTTATCTTGAAATATGGTGGAATAC